AGAATGTGAGATGGGAAACCTAGCAAGCTATGTCCTCATTTTGTGTGGTATAATAACCACTTCAATCCCATATTTAAGGAAAGTGTGTTTTTCAACATGAGTACATTTTCTTTCAGTATATTTGAGAATTTTCAGTAAACAGTAATAGAACAGTTGCATTATTTGTGTGTGTAACTTACTTCTATCTGTAAGGAACTCAAAATCCCAGTACCTAACTACACGAATGAAGAACATATGAATGAGAATCCTAAGGTCTTGCTAGTAAGGCAACCTAATATACAATGTCCCATTTTACTGCATTTTCACTCAAATGCTTATTAAAAAATGTAGTCCTGTAAAACAAAATTTAATATGTTTCCAGTATTTATTAGATATATTAATAAACAAATGTGCATATGCTTCTTTGTTTTATGAGGCTGAGCTAGCTGAGCTAGCTGAGCTTTTATTAAAATTACCTTTGTTCATTTGGAGAGAATCCTGAAGTGAAAAAGTCAAACTATTTCTCCAAAAGTTGTAACTTATTCTTTTCAAAATTCCAGCAATAAAATTCTTAAATACAATGTTATACAGTGGTTGAGGTGGTGATTATGTCTGAACCAAGAGAGAGTACATATGTGGAAAAATGTGGTTTTAAAAGAGGCTAAAATTACAAGGAGCTTTCATTTTCCATAAGCAAAACATATCTACTCTAATGTTTGCTGCAATTTGTTGCCTTTCTTGAATCTTTTTGTTTTAAAGTGTAAGTAAAGCATTTCTTAATCTGGAAAATAGAGGAACAATATAGGAGTGTCCATTTCTGAGCCAGGGACTGCATATATTCACTATTTTAAGAAAATCAATGCAAAAAACATTCCTGGCATACCATTGCACCCCTCCTCACTTTATTTATAATTAAAGTGAAAAGATATTCAATCAGTTTTTATTCCTATAGCCTAAAGTAATGGGAAAATCTGATTCTGTGGAAGCTATTGTTGAGCAAGGATCTACAATCTCCTCTGGCTACTCTATTCACTCATTTACCCTCATTGGCCATTTAGTAATTTACTTATTCTGTGCATCACTTGGTGCTCTGGAGGGCTTGACATTTATACCTCTCATTTATTATCAAATTCTTAATTTACATTCAAGAACTAAATTACTCATTGGCATATTCATCTATACATAAATATTATTGTTCACTATTTCATGTATTATGAAAATTTCAAATATCCAAATTTAGGATGTTATAGCTAGGGCCAAGTTTTAAGATCAGCTTTAGTATCATCAAGAATGTGTTTAGTACCAAATTCTTAAGTATGAGAGAAAATAAATTGATTTCCAAATTACCTTTAGAGTCATTGCTACATTTATGTATTAAGCATCTCTCTAGGACTTCTTAGTAAATATTAATGAATATGAATTATGGCTACATGTAATATGATTTCTCATGTTCACCTCTACTACACAAAATAAAACAGCATTATTTTCTAGAAGAAAATGAGTATAAAAGACTAGAAGATAATTCCTGTAATAACAAACATTACAGATATTTTTAGTACAATGATATCAAAGCTTATTAAAATTGTGCTATGAAGCAAAATGAAGAAACTATTTTCTATTCAGAAAAAAATGGTTCTAGAAGGTAGGAGTTATAATTTATGTACAGCATGGTATCTTCGATGACAGTTGGAAAGGTAAAAATCATGCATCTGGAGCAGGTACAGTAGATGATGCTGAATACACAGGCTTCCCTCACTGCTTTGTTAGTGAGGCTGAACCACTGCTTGAGTGCCAGTATCTGCCAGCTGCACTTATACTTGCTGTATCTTATTGAGGCTCGTTTTAATGATGCTTTGGGGGGTTGGGGGGGTCCAGAACTTAATTTTATATGTTAATGTGACATGCAGCCGTATATGTTATAGAGCTCCAGAGATGCCCGTAGTCAAAAATAATTCCTTTCTATTGCCCTCCTGGCTCTCACCCTAGGCATTAAAATGTTAACCGCTCCTCATCAAGGTATTCCCAAATTACTTTTAAGATGAGATCCAAAGCTTTATTTTCATTTTATATGAGAATTTGCATGCAATTTAAATATCTATGAGGCTTATTTAATGATAAGGACTATTTGAAGAACCAAGTTCGAACGCTTAAATTTTTTTGAAGGTAGGAGAGTTGAAGGTGAAGTAGATTTTTGTTCTCTAATGTAAACTACAAGAACTTGTATACTCTTTAGTACTCTTTAGAATTCTCTTTAGAAAGTTTTTTTTTTTTTCAGTGTCATAAATAACATAAATCTCAGGATGATTTCACACAGTTGTATTTAAAACATTGATAAAATAGATAACCTCTCTGGAGGCACATAACTTAAAGATTGAAAAAATAATATAAGAACTAGAAAAGTTATGAACAATGTATTAAAATAACTTAAATGTCAACTTGAATAGTCCAAATATAATTGCAATATAGTTTCATTTGTTTTTTCTCTCCGAGGTGATTCAAGATGTTTTAATGGCTCTTGAATGACAAATGCTTCTAAGTGTTGTGAATAAAACTTGAAAAACCACCAGATCCCCATTGTGTATTTTTCCTCACCCGAGAACACTATACATATTAAGTATATTACCTCAAGTTTACTAAAATTTTGCTAGCTATACTTTACTAATAAATTGCCAATTCTTTAAGATAATAAAAAGAAGATAATTTTATTTTTTTTTCAAAAATGGCACAAGGATAGGTTGTGTTATCTATTTTGCATAATATATATGTAATTATTTACTAGGAAATGATATAGAATAAAATGTTTCATTTTTATACTAATAT